GGGAAAGTCCAGTACTAGCTACTCTTTTGTGGCTGAAAGAGGCCATCTCTTCTGTTCTTGCTTTTTGGAATTCCTTTATTCAAGTGTTGGACTTAAACTGACCTTTTGCTTTTTCTCCCCTCCCATTCTCTATCCACTTATTTTCTTTTACTCTCTAGGTGATTTTCCCAGCCTTATCTTCAACTCTTCTACTGAAAATATAAATTTTGCTACCATAATTTTGATTTCTAAGAGCTCTTTCTTGTTGTTTTTTAAAATTAATTCTACTAAACAGGCCATGTTTCAAGGAAGCAATGTTTTCTTGGTATCCCTCTGAGTGCAGTAATGATAGGAAGGAGTCTCTCCTGCCTTCTGTATAGCTTTTGATTTACCTTTCCTATGTATTTGTTTTAGTCCCTATTTTTCATGTCGGGGATTGTCTGCAAATGTTTGACAATCCTTGGGCATATTTAAAAGTGAGGCTAGACTCACAGAGATCTTTCTGTGGGGACAGGGCTTGTCTCCTACTGCCCCCCACTGTAATGATCAGTAAGGACCTGGTCATTTTGTTAGGAGACCCCAAATATTGGCATGTATCTGTACGTCTTTTATTTGCACAGTGAAACAGAAATGTATTGACCACTAAGTGGAGTCCTCCAGTGTTTTGCTTGAGGAGGATAAGCTTGACTGCCAGCATCCTTGGAGCCTAAGCAGGGCAGGAGGCTGAGGGTCTCTGGTGAGTGGGTAGACTTTCACTTAATCCCTCTGTTTTCAGCAAGATCCCTCACCCCTGCTTTCAGGTGGGCTGGTGTCTCTTAGGTCCAAGTCCTCCTTCGCTCAACCTTTCCAAAGTGAAACCTCCACCTCTTTTCATGGTGAGAGGGTAGTAGTTGTCTTTCTTCATGGGAGAGGAGAAGAGACTTGGGGTCTCACTGCTCCTATGAAGAATCCTGGCAGATCCTTCCTTTTGCAGCCCCACCTCCCAGTGCCCCCGAAGTCTCCAATTCTAGAGTCTTTCAGCATTTTGGGGGTGAAAACACATACTTTGGGAAGGTTTCTCCCATAGGGCTTAACCCTCTAGCCTGCTGGCTCAGCATCTGCTTTCTAGCATCTTGTTCGCTGTTGTCTTTCCTCGGGTTTGTTTTGTCCTTGCAGGATATTCTCTTTCGGTCCTTTTGCTCTCACTTTAGTAGGGTTTCAGAAGGAAGAGGAGATAAATGTGTGCTCAATCACCTATGTATTTTCCTTCTGCTGTTAAAAAAATGGAGGGCACCTGGGTGGCTCAGTTGGTTAAGAGTCTGCCTCCGGTTCAGGTCATGATCCCAGGGTCCTGGGATCGAGTCCCGCATCCAGCTCCAGGCTTCTCCCTCTCCCTGTGTGCTCTCCCCCTCTCTCTTTCTTGCTCTTGCTGTCTCTCAGATAAATAAAATCTTTTTAAAAAGATAGAAACGGGGCCCATTTAAAAAAGGGTGTTCTGATGTGGATGGTAGAAGACAGTGTGGAACCTCTATTCAAAGGCCCATCATGGAGAAAAAGGCATTGACCTTACATTAGGAGCTTGGGGGAAAAATCAGTATATTCTTTTATTTTTAGGTCAAAATAATATGCTCAAGCTATGTAGTATTATTATTTACAACTCTCCACATTTATTGGGTTTTTCAATTAATCAATATTCTGTTCCTGACCTATATAAAAGATAGTCTCTTTTATCCCTGCAACTGTAATTAATAGCAGATGGTGGTTGTCTTGGACAAGAGGAAAAAAAGTCCAGGACAGTGAGTTCAACGCTTCTGTTTTCCAGGTCACTGAGCAGCTAAGTTGTCTGTGGAGGTGGGCTGACTGTAGGAGGGGATCGTGCAACCATTCCTCCCTCTTTCATTTGTTCATTAAGTCTTTCACGAAACGTCTGTTGTCTACATGCTGTTTGCTGTGCTCTGGTGCGTCTCCCTGTGGGGATTCAGAGGCGCTGACTTAACCCCACACAGATGTTTCCTGGTTGTTCACAAGCATGGAGGGATATTGTTGTTCTTTCCTCGGGCTGGGTGCATGTCGTGGATTTTTTTTTTTTTTAACTTGTTGACTGAAGGTGAAAATGGATCTTCGTTCTCTTAATTTTGGTCAGGAAGGCAACCACCTATGTGGAACAATTGTGATAAGGGGAGGGAAATACAATGGGGTAGAGACTCCCTTTCTCGTGAATAGAATCATCTGGATTGCTCTGACAAGAGATGCTGGTTAATAGTCACTTTCGAACACAAAGACTCAGTGTCATTTTAGTCCTCACTCAGACTGCAGTTCCGCAAGATTTAGCAGCATGGTAGGCCCCAGGGAAGGTTCCCTCACTTATTGCCAAACTTTAAGCGACCACATCACAGCCTTAAAGGCACACCCTTTAGGGAAAGCAGAAGGCAGAAACAGCTTGCCGAGGAGGATGGCCAGACCTGTTCTGGCTCTTGGTCTTCTTTCCTCCGTTCGGGAAAGAAGTCACTTGGAAGGATGAGTTTTCTTGGAAGAGTCATAGTTCACTTCTACGGTGTGGAACCAACTTGAGTTTCAGTTTACACAGAAATTCAGCCCCGAATGACCTGGCCTGAAGGTTGTTTGTGGCTCTAGCCTTCCCATTGTCACACGAGAGGCTAAAGAAACTCCCTATGGTGATTTCTAGGTCTCTGGCATATGTTAAGAATAGGAGGATCCATATACTTGTCCACCTGCATAAGTGTGTGTGTGTGTAAATCATATAATCCTATCCATATACACAACTGCCATCATTTTTCAAAATTCCTTCTTTTTTCCCCCTGTTAGTCCCCATCCAGCTTTACACTCTCTGCACTAGATATTGTCCTGGTAACGAAGGGCAGGTAGGGATTCTGTAAGTGGCATTTGTAAGGCAAGAGGGCTCATTGAGAAGTGACAGAAGCGGTTGGGGTGGAACAGAGTCTGCTAGGACCGGAGGAAATGTGGGAGGAGCACTAGAGGGGGTGCAGAAGGATGAGAGCCTCAGACCCAAGACCTGGAGACCAGAGACCGAAAGTTAGAGAGGGTGGAGAAAAGGTCAGGGACAGGGTGCGTGTGGTGAAGCAGGCTGGGAATAATCCACACGGGGAGAGGGAAGGAGCCGGGGCTTTCTTTAAGTACCTTGTGTTTGCTTCTCCTTTTATTTTAGTTTTTAGTGGCAGACTTCTGAGGTCTGAGAAAATGTGGGTAGGTGCAGCTCCCACCATCCTAGGAACTCAGGGCAACTTGTCAGTGATTATAGGTGATTCTCAGGTCTTTTTTCACCCAAGCCTGACAAATCAGACCTCTAGGCTTTGTGCCAGGGACAGGGAGAGGAGAGAAAGCTCTAAGAGACATCCACGCCACTGCTCAGGTTCGCTAACATTTAAACAACAAGAGGAGTCTATCCCTAGAAGCTCCCTCCCTGCCTTCCACCAGAAACTCAGAGGGAAGACCTCGTGAGGGGGGACGGTTTAGCTCAAAGATGCAGTATTAACAGTCAGTGAAAATTGGCCATATCTCAGAAGACATAAACCTTCCATCTTTAGAATACACTTACTGTCAAAAAAAAAAAAAATTCCGGTTATAGACTAACACTTGCTTATAAAAAAGAATCCAAACAGAAAGCAAGGAACTCTCACTTCCAGCACAGGCCTTTCTGGCCCTGAGGAAGTTTGCCCTAGGAGTGTAGTCATGAACAAACTGTGGATCCAGGAGCTTCGTTCTGCAGAGTTCTGGGAATGCGGAAGCCAGGCGGCTACCACAGGTGGTAGACTTGGCAGAGAGAGGAGCATATGGGCTCACCAGCAGAAATAGATGTCACCATCTGGCACACAAGCCCCTCAGCAGATCCCATTACCTCCCTGCCCTACCCCTATCCAGGTGGAGTGCAGATGGCATTTAAGATACATTTGATTAATTTTTTTAATGACAGAGTCCTGGTTTTATGCAAACGTAGATAGAAGGTGATGTGTTTTGTTAGGGGTGTCTGCCCAAGGTGGCACTCCAAGAAGAGGGGAGAAGTTTCTGAGGATAGCCCATCTCTGACATGATTGCTTGGGATGGAACTGGGTGTCTTCTCTTCTAACAGCAGAAGTGTAATCCCCGGGAAAGAGGCAGATCAGCATGCCAGCTATCGATGAGCAAGTCAAAATTGATTCCTGGATGGGAGGTGTCACTGCAGAGAGACTTCCTGGGGGCATTCCTCCCCAGCCCCTATATGACTTTCAAATTCGACTTCCGGACACAGACAGATTGTTGGGTGGTTTAGTGGTTTATTTTGTGCAGGATTTGAACATAAATGCCAGACTGTGGCCGTTTGGGATATGGTCAGGAAAGCCAGATGTGCTGTGGATATCTTGTTGGATTGCAACATCTAGAATCTCAATGGTTGTGGAACCTTCAGAATCTTACTTGGCACTATGGAATCTTGGAGGAATGGGGCACCTGTTTCAATGCTGTTGTTGTTGTTTTGTCTGTGCCTCAGTTTACGTGATCAGGTTGTTCCGTGGCACGTCTCGTGTAGATTCGCTACACCCTTCAGCGGCCGTGACACCATGCCTAGATTCCAGTCACAGGGTGGCCTTGCATCCAGTTCTAAAAGCTTGACTCTTTGGACTGGAACAACCCACCCCTTAAAATGCCTCATACAGTAAGCTCTGGAAACTAACCCCCAGATTGAAAGTCCTTGTCTAAATAAGAGAGCCTTCGCTGCTGGAATTGGTTGCGGTATCACCCACCTTGGGAAGGTTCCTTGTTCATGCAGGGATGACCTGTCTGTGGGCTGAAGAACAGTGCTCCTTCCTTCGAGTCAGACATCCCTTGCTGGACTCAGGGATGCATGCTGTGCAGAAGGGGTGTGTTTGGAATTGGACGAAACTCTGGGCATCTCTTCAGATTCCCTCCTTACACAGTGGATGGCCGGAGGGGCCTCTCAGTCCGTGTCTGTTCTAGAGACCAGACAGTAAAGAGAACCCTAGTTCTGCTGATGATCAATCAGAATTCCACCCCCCACCCCCCTTCAGATCCATGAGAAAGAAGAGGAAGAGTTCAATGAGAAGAGTGAACATGATTCTGGTATCAATGAGGAGCCTCTACTCACAGCAGATCAGGTATGAATATTTCTCTTGGTTCTTGGGACTTTTTGTTCTTTGGATCAAGAAAAAGTCTAAGTACATACTTGTCTGTCCGTTTAAAGCAGAAGACAAATATATGGTCTCATGGTTGCCTGGGTCGATGACTTGGAGTGTCTTTGATAAGGGATTTCATGTCTCTCTAGGCCTCAGTTTACCCGCCTGCAGTAAACTGGAACATAGTTCCTGACAATCGGGTTGGGCGGGGCTCATGTTTGATTATAGCCAGAGATAGGCCTGGTGTTGATGGGCTTCACTTCTTGCTAAGCTTCTGAGTGTAATCTCATTAAGAGTCAAGACACTGAAATGAGGGTCTCAAATACCTATTCTTGCAAAAATAGAAGTGACAGTTGAGGCTTTTGTATGGTGGGTATTTTCTCATATTTCATAGAACACCCAAAATGTTGAGCCTTCCAAAAGGAGTCTTAATGGACAGTTGTGTCTTTGTTAAAAAAAAAAAAAGTAGTGCTTGACATTTGATTGAATTAATTATATTTTGGCTTTAGTCATTTATTACTTAGCGGAGAATAATCTTGGGTCTCTGGATTCTTTTTTCAACTTTTCGGTCGACAAATATTTCTGGGCGACTTTTTGAGCAGGTACCATACAAGTTTTTCACAAAGTAGTTTCGAAAAAGCTCCACCAGGAGCCTGTGGGGCCAGAAAGTGCTTTTCGGCCAAAGGAACTCTTTCATGTCTGTGGCAAAAAGGTGGGATATTAAACAGGTAAGGATCAAGAGATTGAAGAGCACCAGATGAAAAGAGAAGAGGGGCTGACAGTTCTTCTTGTGAACTGTAAGGGATATACAATTCAGTGATCCAAGGTCAGCGATCAGTTCTCTGTGGGAGAAGGAGAAACTCAGCCATAAGATTCTGAAGGGGGTTTGTCATTTGCTTGTATTTTATAAACGGCTTTCAGGAAGCAAAGCCTAAGTATTCCCTAAATTTGCTGAATGGAGGTGAGAAGGTGTGGGGATAAAATAGAAATTATTCTTAAGGTGTGGGCCCCCTGAGTCCCCTTGTCCTTGGTCCAGCTAACGTGAAGAAGCCTGCCTCAGACAGAACACAGCCCAGGGGCCTGGAGACTGAATCCATCACAGAATTGAGGACAGACAAATGCAGAGTGCCCTGTCGTGACCAGACCCATCCATGGACGGCTTTCAGACTGTCTTTGCTTCTTCCATTTTCTTTACGTGTCAACAGTTAATGAACGTAGCAGCTCACCCGTCTTCCTCTGGCGATGCTCTGATTTAGCTCTCTCTTCTGGGGGCTGATCCCTAGTAAGAGTGGAGATTACAGCTGGGTTTCTTAGCTCTTCTCTGCTCTCCAGACCCTACCTATCCTTTTGTTATGTTAACCTCCTGTTTGGCAATTGTAGCTGCCCAGCTCAAGTTCCTATCCAGGTGAATTCTGGAGAAATTTCCTCTACGTAAAAAAACAAAAAAAGCCTCCCCATTTTGAGTTGTTCTAGAACAGCGGAAGCACTGTAACAATTAACAGACTGGGTTTTGTGTTAAAGTTGGGTGGCTAAAGTGTTTTCCCACTTAGAAATAAAGTGCTCAGCACATTGAGGTAAATGTTCCTTCCGGGCAGCTCTGCTTTGTTTCCCGAAAGAGGAGTTTATTTCCAATAAAGCACTCATCTAAATGGTGTTCTTGGAAGAGATTTCACATTCAAGAGTGCTTTACATTAACGAAAGAGTGTGTGTAAGCCTTTGGTCAGATCTATTTTTATTATTATTCAACATTTATTAAATAACAATATTGCTTTAAGAATTTTATAGGCAGCAAATTAGAGACATCCTTAGCTGATCAAAATCCGAGCCGGGATGTCCCTCCAGCAGAGAATAGTTAGCACTCTCTTGCGTACCTTCTTCAGGTGATTGAAGAGATTGAAGAAATGATGCAGAACTCCCCAGACCCTGAGGAAGAAGAGGAGGTCCTGGAAGAGGAGGATGAGGGAGAAACCTCCTCCCAGGCAGACTCCGTCCTCCTGCGGGAGATGCAGGCCTTGACCCAGACCTTCAACAACAACTGGTCCTACGAAGGTGAGGGGCCTGGTGGGTGGGCTTGCCGAGGATGAGCCCTCCTGCCTGTGGGCCAGGCCATGGGCACACGCTTCACATGTACCTAGTAGGACCTCCAATCCAGGGAGTTGGCAATCCCTTTCTTACTGGGCGTCAGGAGAGAACTTAGCAAATTTTGGGGGTGAGGGGGAAAGGCAATTAAGCAAAATCAAAATGGTAAAACTAACCAAAGAACAAGACTGGAGCAGAATAAGCAGAGGAAATCGGAATCCACTCTCCAAAATGATGCTACCATAAAATCAATAAAAAAGGTAATAATCATGATAGCTGATATTTTTGGAAAGCTCTCTATGTGCCAGACCCAGTTGTAAGAATTTCTGTGCATCATCTCATTTCATCCCCACCCCAACTCCATTAGGACTGGGGTAATTGAGGAGGCTGAGAGGCTAAGTGACTTGTTTGATGTCCCCACTGCTGGGGACATATGATTAAAAACAGAATCTCCTCCCCACCCAGAAAACCTCTCCACAGAAGGAGAAGAAAAAGCCAACAATTTTATTATTGGATAAGCGTGAAGCCAGAACAGAGTGCCCTTCACAGGCAACTCGCTGAAGGGATTGCAAAACCAGAAAGAAATCCTACTCTCATCTCTGGCGAAGTGGATACAACCCATTACATTAAATCAGTTTAACAGTCTGGAGAAGGGCGACTAGTTAGGGCCCTGTCATCTTCCTTGATGATGACTTTTCCAACCTGTGGCTCCCAGGTGGTTGAGGAAATATTGCTGAGTCCTGAGACTGACAAGGGGCTTATTTTGCTGTTCAAATGATTGGCATCCATCTGCAAAGGACAGAGGAAGGCATTCGCAGAGAACAGGCAGGGGAAGGAGAGAGAAAGTCTCTTTCCTTACTTTCAACAGGGAGAGCCAAGCTTCCTATTTTTCATGTGTATCTGCCCCAACACCACATCCAGGTGGTGAGGGGTGGGGCCCACGAGCAAAGCCAGACAGGTTAACGCCAGAATCCACACTCTTTTTTTTTTTTAAAGATTCTATTTATTTGTTTGTCAGAGAGAGAGAGAGAGAGCATAAGCAGGGGGAGTGGCAGGCAGAAGGAGAAGCAGGCTCCCTGCTGAGCAGGGAGTCTGATGCGGGACTCGATCCCAGGACCCTGGGATCATGACCTGAGCTGAAGGCAGACGCTTAGCAGACTGAGCCACCCAGGCATCCCCAGAATCCACACTCTTAATCTGTGTGTCGTGTTAGCTCTCTGACAGGTTCGTAGCAATTATGATCACGCAAAGAAAGGGGTGGATGAGGTGTAAAATGAAAGGATATGACGCAGCGAAGGCAGAACTGAGTATAAAAGCCATCCATCTGGAAGGGTAACGGGGCCCGTCCTGCAGGAGGGGCCGCGCTCCTTGGGCGGAGATGCACCTGTGGGCTGGCAGAGCCTTAGAAACACCGCAGAGGGAAGGCCGGCCGGGCAGGTGTCAAGGTCCAAACACGGGTGAAAATCGAGGCCTGCTCTGAGGAACCATGTCCTGAAAACGAAACTCGGTGGTTCTAAAGAGCAGAGGCTGGGCCAGCGCAAAAGCAGAAGGAATGTGCTCGCAACGATGGGGCAGATTTGGCTGCGGAGCTGCATTCAGGCTGGTCTCAGCCACACAAAGGCCCCAAACATAGCCGCGCTCAGCGGAAGACTCAGGAAAACAGCTGAAGTGCACAGTGAAATGGCAAACGCAGGAGGGGGACAGCTCTAAAAAGCAGAATAAAGGGGGAGGTCGAACCGAGTCAGCAAATCCACAGGCCACGGCAGAAACAGGGAAGTAAAGTGGATTCTGGGGCAGAAACAAAAGATGTTAGAAGGAGACAAATTTGAAAAGATGCTCCCCCCCCAATCTATTATTTTTATTATTTTAAGGAGGCTCCCTGCCCACCGTGGGGCTTGAACTCGTAACCTTGGGATCAAGAGTGGCATGCTGTACAGACTGAGCCCACCAGATGCACTTCCCCCCCAGTCTATTTTAAATGAAGAAATTGGAAGGGAAAAGAATTTAAGACAAAGTTTTCTGTACCCCATTATCTCAGCTTCCCTTTCGTTTTCTCTGACAGCAGGCTCGGTACCAGCCAGCCAGGGCGCACTTTTCAGTCTGCGGTCCCAGTCTGCCGCACGTTTCCCGTGTTTCGGAATATCTGCACTGTCGCGCAGGACCACGGGGTGAAGGGGGCTCAGATCGCTGTGCTTATTTTGCTGGCCGGCTAGATCTTGATCAGCTCTTGGGACAAACGCCACCTCTCTCCTGTCTGCAGCACCTATGCCCAAAACCTCCTCTTAATGTTTTCTCCCCCGATCCTTGACCCATTTCGCACCAGGAATATCAGAGACACAGAGGAAAAATAGGAAGAGGAAAAAGGGATCAAAAAGTCACATGTTTGTCTATGCACATTTTTTTTTTTAAAGATTTTATTTATTTATTTGTTAGAGAACACAAGCAGGGGGAGTGGCAGGCAGAGCTGGCAGAGGGAGAAGCAGGCTCCCTGCGGAGCAAGGAGCCCGAGCGGGACTCGATCCCAGGACCCTGAGTTCATGACCTGAAGCCGAACGCAGACGCTTAACTGACTGAGCCACCCAGGCGTCCCCGTCCGTGCACATTTTTGTGAACGGAGCCCACGGGCTTCTGTGGGGGCGCTTTCTTCTTCCTCTTTTGTTGTCCTGAGAGTGGCGTGCACTTTGGCTGTCGTACATGGGTCCCTTCCTTCCTGGCGTGCCCCTGAACTGCCAGTCCTGTAAGGAGGCGGGAGGGGTCCCCTCGGGGGCAGCGGCCCGGTGGGCTCTGGCTGGGCTGCAGGGATGGTCACCTGCGGGACGGTCTCCCCCTGCAGGCCTGAGGCACATGTCTGGGTCGGAGCTGACCGAGCTGCTGGACCAGGTGGAGGGCGCCATCCGGGACTTCTCGGAGGAGCTGGTGCAACAGCTGGCCCACCGGGACGAGCTGGAGTTCGAGAAGGAAGTGAAGAACTCCTTCATCACGGTGCTTATCGAGGTTCAGAACAAGCAGAAGGAGCAGCGAGAACTGATGAAGAAGAGGCGGAAAGAGAAAGGTCTGAGCCTGCAGAGCAGCCGGATAGAGAAGGGAACCCAGATGCCGCTCAAGGTAGGTGAACCGCCCGTGGGAAGACGAGGTGCATCCAGCCTCGAAGCCTGGCCGTGTGGGGCCCCGGTACCAAGCCTGCGCAAGCCCCAGGAGCAGAGCGGGATTGAGCAGTGACTGCGAGCAGGACCCTTGGCAGACAGTAGGGCTGTAAAGAGAGAGAAGGCACCCCTTTCTCCTTGCCTCCCCTTGAGGACCTCGGTCTAGCTGGGGGACACCAGACGTGGACATGGGAAAATACTTGCATGTGGTCTGTGTTCCCTGAGGCAAGACCTCAGAAAGAGGGGTGAAGGTGGCTAAGACTGAGGGGCGCTGTGCCCTGGGACTCAGGGTCAGCATCCCTGCTGCTTGTCCTGACTGCTCTCTTTCGGATGGCGGGGGCGGGGGAGGGGGCTCGCGGTTGTTTCAGGATTGAAAATTCTGACGCCTTGCTGTAGACTAACAGGATTCTTCAAACCAGTGGTTCTTGATCAGGGAAGCTCAGGAGAATCCTCCAAGGAGATTGTTCAAAATACCTTGGCCGAGGCTCTGTCCCAGACCTCCCGAATTGGGCGTCGGCTTGTGCATTTTGGAAAAGCCTTCCCAGATGAGGACAGCAGCTTTACATCTGCCCTCCCCAGTGGCCGGACGTTTTGTTTTCCTCTGTGAGATGCTTGCATCATCACCTGCCCCAGGCGTAGGGTCCTGCTTTATTCTTTCTGTCCACACGGAGGCTGAAATGAGGAAACCAGGGGGGTGCAGGGCGACCCGTTGCCCCGAGGGACCTACTAAGAGTCTTTGAGACTCTACTTTTGGTTCTTGCAAAACTCAGGCTTAAATTTTGGCCTATTTTTTAGCCCAGGTTTTATCTGGGGCAGGGTGGTGGCCGGTGGGTCTGGGTAGCTTAGGGAGGACACCCAAGTCCCGGGGGAGTGATGACTATGAAGCAGGAAGCATGGAAGGCATCTCCTTCCCCCTCTCTCCCCAGCGCTTCAGCATGGAAGGCATCTCCAACATTCTGCAGAGCGGCATCCGCCAGACCTTTGGCTCCTCAGGGACGGACAAACAGGTACAAGCAGTTCCCCGGCTCCCAGCTTTCCTCCTGGACTCTTGCAGCCCGGCCTCCCCTGCAGACCGGGGCGTGGTGACTCACTAGGGTTATCCCAGCCCTCGGGCAGAGGGAGGTCTTAACATCTTCTTCCACTCATAAGAAGGGACAGGCAGGTCTTTTACAAGGTGAACTGGGTTTTGTTTTGTTTTGTTTTGTTTTGTTTTGTTTTGTTTGAGCTGTTGCTGGGCCCTCAGGTGCAAAGATGGGTCAGTCCTGGTCTCTGCTCTCACGAAGTGCATAATCTGATAGAAAGGGCATGTGCATAAACGGACAAGTTTGGAGTAAGTGCACGTAATTGTGTACGAATGTCAGACATCTTTGTAGCTGAATCCTAAGGGTGAGAATTCTGGCACTGCAGCATGCGAAGGGATTTGGGGAACATCTAATCCAGTCCCCTCATTTTGCAGCGGTGAGAACTAAGATCTGGAGAGATTAGGTCTTCTCTCAAGACCACACCGCTAGGGGCAGAACCAAGACCAAAATATAAGTCTTTTGGCATTTGGGCTGGAGCTCAGTCCCCCAGGCTCCCCGCCAACCTTCAGGATCTCTCTGGCACCCTGTTCTCGGGCCCCACCAGGCCAAGATGATCTTGTTGTAGAAGCACCTCATATCCAGCAGAGGGAGCAAACCCAACGTCCGAGACCAAGGGCGGGGTTGAGGTTCTCTCCCCTGTCATTTTTGACAAAAGAGAGACCGTTTGATTTCATATTGCACAGCAAAGCATGCAAAAGTATAATCTCCCTTGAAAATGTTCTCCTGAAGGAGAAAAGGCTCACCAGGATTCCTAAATATCCAAAAGCTTGTAGTGTCAGAAGAATGTATTCGATGGTATGGAGGGCTGATATGGGAAAGACTTATAAAATGAGACTTTCGCCAGAGATGGGGAGAGGGTCCCGAGGCAGTGGTGGGCAGAGTGTCATGGGGGTTGCTGAGAGTGTCAGTTTCGATGGAGCATGTTGGGGAGAGACGATCACAGTCCCCATGCAAGTTGTCAACGCGTCTCACCTGTGGAGGGACCAGACTTGTGTCTCCAGCCCTGCCTGGCATGTTTGTATGTTTATCTCGTAGTATCTGAACACGGTCATCCCTTATGAGAAGAAAGCCTTGCCCCCATCAGTGGAGGATCTCCAGATGCTGACAAACAGTGAGTTCCTCTCATCCCCAGAGAGATGGGCCGCTCGCTCCGTGCCTCCCTCCCCGTGAGGGGCAGCATTAGATGGGTCAGAATGTGCTCCATGTCCCTGCGTCACTCCCCCCCTCCCTTGTCTGTTCTCTTGGCAGCAACTTGCGGTTGCTTTGTCCCACCTATGGCCCCGCGGCAGGGGGCTTGGTCCATGGGGCTGGCTGCGTTTTTAAGGAGAAGCAAGGTTTCTTGGGTGGCAGGGGTGGGTGACCGGAAAGGGTGGTTTTCCTTCCAGGAAATGACTGCCCCCTCTCCTCTGCTTTGGCTCTATTGTCAAATATTAATAAACATCCTGAGTGATGGGAGAAACCAGTGTGTGATAAAGAGCCCTTTGTAGGCAAAATCTTTTTACGTACATCAAGCACAACAACCCCCAAAGGGCTGGGGGCGCATAGTATTAGCCATCAGTGTTAGCCTGATTCTTTTAGGAAGGGAAAAATGTGAGGCCAAGATGGGGTGGCAGGCTCAGTGAATCACAAGAATGTCCATCTCCCTGGCAACCGTGCCCTGTGCCGAGTGACATAGTCACCGGGCCCGTCCAGCCCATCGGCGCCCCGCCTCTACCTCGGAGGGAATGGCTTGAGCAGCGGGCTGGGCTAGCGCAGGGCCATTTGCTACCCCAGGGGAGGGCAAGAGGAGCTTCTTCTGTTCAGCTGAGGAAGACAGACACCTGGTGCCCCCTTCTCCCCCCGACCCTGGTGCTATAAAGGTGACCAAACATTTTCACTGTTATCAATCTGGGGAACCAAAGCAGAAGGTTCTGGTAAACAGAAACCCTTCCTACATCCATGGATACCGCGTCCTTGAGAATCTCTCCTCTTCACTCCTTTTAAACTCCTTTATTTGCATACATAGGCACGAAGATTTTTTTTCAAGGGAGCAGACAGCAACGAACTGACATTTATAGGTGTTTGTGTTTTCACAAGTAGTAAGCATTTGGAAAATAATTTGGACAGATTACGAGGGTTGATATATGTAAAGTACTCGATCAATTTTTTTTTAAAGGAAGAGCTATAAATTTATTACAGACACCCATTCAGGAATTCAGTGCGAAATCCTTTCATTTTAATTAAGAAACAGTGGATTTATTTACATGTTTCAAGTTCGTTTAAAACATTTTAATTGGAGTGTATCCATCATTTAGAATAGTTTGGAAATACAGAACAGTGAACAAAAAAAATAAATAATTCATTGTCCCCTCCACTGCGGTTACTATTTTGGTGTTTTCAGCCATAATGTTTTATGTCTTCTCCACATACTTGGGATTATACTGGCTATAAAATTTTGTATCGTGATTTTAGTCATATCAGTTAACATTTGGTTAACATTCTTTTTATGGCTCTCTCTTCTATCATGTGGGTACACCACATTCCAATATTTTATTCTTTTTAAAAGAAAAAACTGCCATCTTCCCTGAATGTGAATTCTGCTGCAGGTTATAAAAGCTTTCTTTTTTTTTTTGGCCAGTCCTCATATGGATCTGTGAATGTCTCCTCTTTACTCCTGAACCAAGGATGTCCTGGACCAGCTCTTGGGACCGGACAACTCCTATACATTTTGGATTTTGACAGTGAACTTAGACACATATTGGCTGAATGCAAGGATTACATTTTTACAGCTGTCTTCTTCTTCTTTTTTTTTAGATTTTATTTATTTATTTGAGAGAGAGAGAGCACAAGCAGGGGGAAGGGCAGAAACAGATTCCCCACTGAGCGAGGAGCCGGAGGTGAGGCTCGATCCCTGGACGCTGGGATCAAGACCTGAGCCGAAGGCAGACACTTAACCCACTGAGCCACCCGGGCGCTGCCCACAGCTGTCTTCTTCGTGCAGCATTTTGTGTGCCCATATTCAGTTGTAAAGTACTTCCAGCCTGTTAGGTTGACAGGAATACACATCCAAAACTACAGAAGAAATAAAAGAAACCAACACCTGGAGGGCCCCAGTTTCAGGCTCTTTCTTTCCTCCGGACCTGGCCACTGACTCATGCCACCACCGGGTCCATCACCCACTCCCAATTTTTGGAGTCAAGTTTCGTGATCCTGACCTGAAGCAAGGCAGGGTCAACAATGGAGAGCAAGGCCATGGAAATGGATGGAGATCCATCCCCATATTGTCGAGGCTGCCTCCTCCTGGTGACCGGTGTCGGCTGAACTTTATTGCTTTCCCTGCTCGCAGAAAAGCAAAACGTACTCATTGAAGAAGGCCAGACCCAGGGCGCCTCGGTTGCTCAGTCGTTAAGCCGCTGCCTTCGCGGCCCAGGTCATGATCCCGGGGTCCTGGGATCGAATCCCGCATCGGGCTCCCTGCTCGGCGGAAAGCCTGCTTCTCCCTCTCCCACTCTCCCTGCTTGTGTTCCCTCTCTCGCTGTTTACAATATCATAAATATCTCTCTGTCAATACAATATCACATATATCTCTGTCAAATAAATAAATAAAATATTAAAAGAAAAAAAAGAAGGCCAGACCCTGCAGAAATAGGATGTAGAAAGGAATATCCCCTGTGATTTTGCACCCAGAGATAACCAGTCTTAACACTTTCATGCACATTCTTCCAGATTTTTTTCTATGAATATTAGCATTTATTAATTTAGAAGTTAATCCATAATGTTCTGCAGCTTTCTTGCTTCACCGATAAATATGTCTTGTACCCATGGATCTGTTTCTCGTGTTTCATAGAGCTCTATAAGACTACATGGGATAGGGGTGCCTGGGTGGCTAAGTCGGTTAAGCGGCTGCCTTCGGCTCAGGTCATGATCCCAGGGTCCTGGGATCGAGTCCCGCATCGGGCTCCCTGCTGCACGGGAAGCCTGCTTCTCCCTCTCCCTCTTCCTGCCTCTCTGCCTACTTGTACTCTCTATGTCAAATAAATAAATAAAATCTTAAAAAAAAAAGACTACATGGAATAGATACACCATGGTTTATTTAAGGGATCTGTGATGAAGAATACTATCGGTGCATTCTCTCCTCCCCTCATTTTATGATATTGTAAACAAAGTCCAACAACATTCTTAAAAGATTTTCTACAAAGCTGACTTCCACAATATGAATTATGAATATGAGAAAGCGCTACCTTGTTTACTAACAGAAAAAACTATTTTCAAAACTTCTATAAAAAAAGCCTTTACGCTTTTGTAACTTCCCTCTTGTTTGCCTTATATGTGTGTAAATCATCAACTGTCTCAATGAGAAGTCTATGAGCTCCTTGAGGGTCCATAATTCTTCTGCATTTCCACAAATTCTAGCACTGTAGTGGGCATAAAATAGAAAATAAATTATTTGTTAAAATAAGTTCATTTGTTATTGATAAATACGAATAATAATTTATGATTATAATAATTACAGAAAAATTTCCAATATCTGCTTACATGAATAGAATGTCCTTAAAGAGTTTCATTGGTGATTCAATAATGTGATGACTGTCATTCTTTTTTTTAAAATATTATTTATTTATTTATTTATTTTATTTATTTATTCGAGAGAGAGAGAGAATGAGAGACAGAGAGCAGCATGAGAGGGAGGAGGGTCAGAGGGAGAAGCAGACTCCCTGCTGAGCAGGGAGCCCGATGCAGGACTCGATCCCGGGACTCCAGGATCATGACCTGAGCCGAAGGCTAATGTGATGACTGTTATTCTTAACATTTAGATTGCATCTGAAAGCTGATTCTTTTTTAAATTGCTTTATTTCTTTTCATGCTTATTAAAGATAGATACTTAGGAAATAATGTGGAGATACAGATGAGCAAAAAAAAAAAAAAAGTAAAATATAAAAGAAAATAAAGTCACCAAAAGGCCACTCAGACTTTTTGGACGTATTCTACTCCATCAGCATGTGGAATGTTGATGCTTGACAGAAGCTTCTAGACGTTTGCTCCATACTCAGTGAATGTCTGGTTTTGTTGAATCATTTCTCACTCTTGGGTTGGTGGGTTGTCTCCCTAGAAATGAGCTTTATGCCCTGCTGGCATCTCGGCTCATCTCTCTCTCTCTCTTCTTCCCTAGTTCTCTTTGCCATGAAGGAGGATAACGAGAAGGTGCCCACTTTGCTAACGGACTACATTTTAAAAGGTGAGAGCAGTCCCTGGGGCCCCTGGAGCGGGGGCTTCCCGGGGTCCCCTCCCCCAGGCCTGCCGCTGAAGGGCTGGGAGGCCGCTCTGCTCCGCAGCCTTCCCAGAGCGTCCTTCCACCCAGACCGCGCAGGGCACACAGGGCCAGGGGCCGCCGGTGGGCGATTATGAGGCCCTCACAGGAATGGGGTTTTGTCCTTGCATGTTGCCAGGAGGCGGGAGAAGGAGATTCCTTCACCCTGGAGTCACCAGAGCGCCTCCACATTAGAGCAGTGGAACCAGATTGTGAAAGTTCTGGAGAGTTCAGGCTATTCCGTGGGGAAAAACCAGAGCCCCGGGCTACGTGTACTAGTCTCAGCTGCTTGAAGTCATGCCTAGCTACATCCTTTCCTGACTTTTGTTTTATCTTTTATTAAGGAAACTGTTAACATATATGCGTCGAGTGACTGGAATAATGAACTCTCATGTACTCATCCTGCTTCAGTGATCATTGATTCATGGCTGATCTTTGTTCACTTACACCCCTACCCAGCTTCTCCCCTCCATATTATTTTGAAGCAAATCCCAACCATCAGTTTTCTTAATCTTTAAGTATTTCAGTGTACATTTCTAAAACATAAGGACTCCTTACAAAAAATCCTAACCACAATATCGTTATCACAACTAGAAAAATAAAAAATGTCTCAATATCTTTGACTATCCAATCAGTGCTCACATTTCCCTGTTACATTTTCTCAGTCTGTTTGAATCAGGATCCAGTGAAAACCCATACACTGCAATTGGATAATATGTCTCCTAAATCTCTTTATATATATATATGTTCCCTTTCCTTTCCTCTCGTTCCTTGAAATTTATTTCTTGGAGAAACCAGGTTGTTTGCCCCATAGAATTTCCTTGTTTCAGCTTCCGCCAGTCGGTTATGTCCCCATGGTTTAATTTAATATGTTCTTCCATTTTTTTTTAAAGATTTTATTTATTTATTTGACAGAGAGAGACACAGTGAGAGAGGGAACACAAGCAGGGGGAGTGGGAGAGGGAGAAGCAGGCTTCCCGCGGAGCAGGGAGCCCAATGTGGGGCTCGATTCCAGGACCCTGGGATCATGACCTGAGCCGAAGGCAGACGCTTAATGACTGAGCCACCCAGGCGCCCCTGTTCTTCCATTTTTTGTATTTCTTGTTAGCTGGCAGAGCTAGAGGCTGGATCAGACTCATTCTCAAATCTTTTGATAAACATTACACGATCAGTGGTGCTAAACTTCCATTAAGAGACACATATTCTCTGGTTGTCTTTCTTTTTGTGACGTCAATATCTGTATTAGTCTGCTCAGGCTGCTACAACAAAATACCGGGGGGGGGGGGGGTGGGCGGGGAGGGGAGGGGCTTCAACAACAGAAAGGTATTTTCTCACAGTTTCAGAGGCTAGAAGTCCATGATCAAGATGCCACCAAATCCAGTTCCTAGCAAGGGCTCTCTTCTCGGCTTGTAGACAGCCACCTTCTTGCTGTGTCCTCACGTGGCCTCCCTCTCCTGTGTGCATGTGAAGGGAGAGAATGCTAGGGCTCTCTGGTGTCTCCTCTTATAAGGACACTAATTCTATCAGAGCAGAGCCCCATGCTATGACTCATTTAACCTTACCTCCTTAGAGGCTCCATCTCCAAATACAGCTGCACATGGGGCGCCCCGGACATTCAGGCCATAACAATATCCACTGCTGGTCATCCGTTATCTGGATTCTCGATTTCATTCAGCTTTGGCCCACATGCACACACGACGTTGGGTACAGTTCCAGTAGGCTTGTGGATCTCGGTTAAGAACCTCTGGGTGGTATTGTTTCCATAAGGATCAGAAAGATTAGTCTTAAATTTCAGCAGGAGGACTTCAGGCTAAACATAGGGAAGAACTTCTGCCTCTTAAAGGCTTTCAAAGCCAATTTCTCAAAGGAGGTCTGTGGAAATGGGTTTGGTAAGTCTGGGAGCCTGAGGGCTGGACCCCTTTTCCCACCGTGATCCACGGAAATGTCAGTGAATTCATAAAACTAGTTAACATTTACTGAGCGCTTTCTATTTGCTTCTGAACAACCCTGTGGGGTAGGCAGAAGCACCGTCTATTGTACACACGGAGGAGCGAGCGCAGAGAGGTGGAGCGATTTCCCCAAGGTCGTAGAATTAGCACAGGCCGGATCCAGGGTTTGAACCCAGGCACAAGCATCCGAGACCTAATCAGCGCACCAGACGGGCCACCTCCCATCATCTCATCCTTCTTCCGGAAGGAAGACGCAGTTATTCCTGGGTCCTGGGGGGCGGCTCTCTGCTCGGGATAGGACCGCCTCTCGGCCGGGGCCACCCTGGGCTGGCAGGTCCTGACCCACGCTGTGCTTTGACCTCTCTCCTCTCGCCTTTTCTTTGCAGTGCTCTGCCCCACCTAACCTTGCCCTCAGGGCCAGTCTTGCCACGGAGGTCACAGAGCAAGAGGCATTCCATCCCAGGGACTGCATGACACCACGTAACCTCCGACGTGTATTTAAACGTGTATAGCTTAACCTGGATTAAACATGAGCAAGCGCGCGGGGTCCTTTGCTGTTGGCTTCTAGTCCTAGTGATCATTGGATGCATGACCGAGGGGCAGGGCTGGTGAGGCGCCTCTCGGCCCCGCCGGGGGGAAGGCGGGAAGGCAGGCGCTCTCACCGCTCACGATGTAGCCTGGCTCCAGCCCTCGAAAACAGCTTACCCTCTAAGACTAATTTTGAAATAAACCTTCATTTAATTAATATTCTTCATGTGCCCCAGAGTGTGGTCTGTCATACCTGGAGAGAGAAAGGCTGCGGAGCTGCCTTTGTGAGACGTCCCGGGGCCTACGGCAGATGGCCGGGCATGGAGGGACCCGAGCGTGGGCCCCCCGCCGTGGGCCATGGGGGCGCTGCACGGGGCACAGTCAGAAGGAGCAGGCCATCCACAGACCCCCAAGATCTCGCTGCTTGGCAACTGTAAAGGGAGCTGCGCAATGTGTTCTAGGAACTACTGATGGGGGGTGTCAGACCAGCGGGGGAGGGGGAAGTTAGCAGAGAAGTGAGTCTCGAGGTGCAGCCCGTGCCTCCCGCTGAGATGGCCACACTGGCCCCTGCCAGACCCTCCACGGGGACCCCGAGGCTCGGGGGCTGGAGGGAGTCAGCTCTGCTAGCAAGCCCAGCTTGGGGGATCGCGGCCATTGCCCCAACGCCCCAGTGACCTTGGGGAATGGTGTCCTGTGGCCGTGCGCGCCCTCCCCTGCCCTTCTGGCAGCCGGAGGTCCGACTCCTGGGTGCTTTGCTGCTCCCGGGACCAGCAGGTGACTGTTGTCCTCACACCTGGATGCTGCCTTGATTTCAACATAGCCGGAGCTCGGAACTCGCTTGGCTTCCATCTTCTGGCTTGAATGACAAAAGCCCCATGAATTCCCACAACCCCATCTTTTTTTTTTTTTTTTTAAAGATTTTATTTATTTATTTGACAGAGAGAGAGAGAACGAGCAAGGGGAAAGGCAGAGGGAGAAGCAGGCTCCCCACTGAGCAAGGAGCCCGATGCGGGGCTTGATCCCGGGACCCTGGGACCATGACCTGAACTGAAGGCAGACGCTTAACCGACTGAACCACCCAGGCGCCCCTCCACAGCCCCATCTTCAAACAAAAACCTTCATAGAGCCCTTGCCATGTGCCTGCTGCTGACCCTATCACGTCATAACCGAGTGTCCCATCGGGAGGAGGCAATGGTGTCGCCCAGGTTTTACGGAGAGGGGAGCAGCCAGCAGCGACGTTCAGAAGGCGTAGGGTCAGACTGCCCCCTTCCACTCGCTCTTCGTATGGCGTTTGCTTTGCCCGAACGTGCCAAACAGAAAGCCATACTTTAGCACACCGGCAGCCCCGCGGGAGGCTGTGGGTCAACGTGGGTGACAGTAGAAGGCATCCCTGGTGCCCTGCCTCTCACTTCTTGGGCCTCTGCTTTTCTGGGAGCAGGGCCGCCGAGCAGGAGCCGTCTTAGCTTGGGGTGAGGGGGCCCTAGTCCTCCAGGGAAGCTGTCCCGGGGCCTGCAGCTCTAGCTCAGGCATGCACCGGGAGCAGAATGTCAACACGGGTAGAGCCCTGGCTGCTATGGGAGAATCCAAGCAACCACAGGCACCCATGCAGATCCTTAGGGGCCAACACGGACGAGTCCCAGGGCTTTGACAGCAGGAGAGGACTTCAGTTCTGCATTCATTGGCACTGTGGTTAAGGATGCAAAGGGTCACTGGGGGCGCCAGGTCATTTGCCGGCTGGGGGGTTTTTCACCCGTCTCAGCAAAAAGGAAGCAGAGAATCCTCCAGAGCTTTTCTTCCTGCCTTGCATTTGTCAGATCTGGGTCAGCCATTCCTTCCCCCAGTGTATCCTGCCAGCAGGTGTCTGAGGAAGCAGAGACAAGCTAATCAAAGTTGCTGGCAGTTAAAAATAAATCTCAAGTGTCAGGGATACACTCAAGCTAGAGGAGGTGAGCAGGCAAAGGTGGGGACAGTGGTTCCTCTTGTCTCGCCTTTTGTCCCCATCAGCAGTCTTAGCGGGGAATGTTCGGTCTGATTGTCATGGTTGTGCATGTCCTTCCCTCTATCCTTGCTCCTCAGCGTGGGGAGCTGACTGTGAGAAAACGCCGCGGCCCAGACCTCCCACATCAGAATCTGCATTTAACAAGCTCTCCAGGCAATCGGTATTTGCGTTAAGGTTTGGAGAAGCTTTGCATGGAGGCTGAACCTGAGTGCGAAGTGTGGTGCTCAGGTGAACGCGATTCCCCGCCCCCAGCATTCCCCTCTGCTCATCCTTCTGGTTACAGAAGCGCGGGGGAGGCGCCCCAAGGGGGACTGACGCTTCAGACTGCGGGTGGCCCTTGTGGACAGACTCAAGTCCAGTCTCGGCTGGCCGCACACAGCGAGGGTACCGGGGAGCCCGGGTCTGCGGGCAGCCTCCTCAGTAGGTAGCAGGTGGGCTTTGAGGGACGTGGTAAAGGCCCCCAGTGTGGCTTTTGCCAAGTGTCACGTGATCAAGTCTGGGTAAGGAAACTCCACGGTAGAGCCGGACACCAGCCTTCGTTTACATGCGGTTGAAACAAACAACCACGGGGGGACAAGCCGTTTTCCAAACATTCCCTGGCCTCGTCTCTCTTTCAGGAGGGAGACAGGTGTGAAAACTCAGCAGGAAAAGCTAACAGGGAAGAGTGTTGTGGCCCCAACGTTTGTGGGACAAATTGGCTTTGAAAAATTAAAGAGAGCTTTTTCGTGCCTGCTGGATGGTCTGGAGGACGACTTTGTCTAGCTGGTGGCTAGGGAAGAAGAGATGTGGATGGTCAGTGAGGAGGCGCATCCTGCAGGTGTCTCAGAAGGAACCATAAATCAGGTTCCGATGAGCACCCAGTCCTTCCGTGCCTGCTCCAAGCACCCGCAGTGTCCTGCCTCCCACCTCACCCAGGCACCGTGGCATCGGGGGTCTCACCAAAGGCCCAAGAGCACGGAGCACCCCGGGGCGCCCAGCCTGCCTTGCAGCAGGAGCACAAAATAGGGAGAGGTGAGTCCCATCACCGAGCCAGCCTCCGTGATTAGCATGCGTGGAGGGCAGAGTAATTAAATGCTGCTCTTGGAGAAGAGACTTGCGTTCTTGATGGCGCCTGATTATTTATTTCCTTGAGAGGATGAGAGGATAGTCTCCAGGCCTTCTGTCTGAGCCTCAGCTTCGCTCGCCTCCTCCCTCGAGAAGGGACGGGAAGCAGAGGCCCCTCTGCTGACCAGAAAGGTGCCTTGGCTTTGTATCAATGCCTTTCTGTTAA